AGTAGCAGTAGTAGCAGTAGCAGTAGGAGTAGTAGGAGTAGTAGTAGTAGTAGTAGTAGTAGTAGTAGTGGTAGAAGCGGCCGCAGTAGCATTCGCATACACAGTAATTAGCAGCGGCAGCAGTGTGGCGAGTAGGAGCAGTCGCAGTCGTAGTCGTCCTCAGTCGTCGTCGTCGTCATGGTGGTAGTAGTAGTAGTAGTAGTAGTAGTAGACTTAGTAGAATTAGTAGAATTAGTAGAATAAATGGATGCAGAAGTATCAGTAGAAGTAGTGGTAGCAGCAGTAGTTGTAGAGCAGTAAGCAGAATGTCGACAGCAGCAGCAATGCAACTGCCAGGAGCCCTCAATCCCTGCAGAGGCCGTGCAGGTGTTGGCAGAGAATGCCTCTGCAGCTTGCCGAGAAGCAAGCCATACCAGGGTATATAATATCGTATAGCAGAATCGAAACGGATTTGTACAATGGTCATTCTGGCCCCTATATCAGTGGAGTGATCGCAAAAAGATGGCTTCAGAAGGGCAGCCCGTAAAAGAAGGAGTGTGGATCACGACAGGCCGGTTCGTTTAGCCAGCCGGTCCTGTGACGAAAGGCCCTGGTGGTGCGGAAGCCTGCGGGAATCCCTTGCCACCCTCAGGTGGGGTGGGGTCCAAGACTGCACAACCGGCAGTGATGCAAGGAGTTCAGGTTCAATCTCTGAGGGCTCTATGCTGCACAGCTTGTGTTCACATCTTCGACACGTCTGCATCTCGCAGGGGAAGTACCAGCAGTGCTCCCTCACAGAGATCTTGCGTGTGTCCCATTTGAAGGACGCGTGTTTCTCGTTGCTACCCGTTTTTGTGTTGGACTTGTGCCCATGCACCGACAGTCTTGGAACTGCCTGGGCATCATTCTTCCAACCCTGAAACCCCCGAAGGCCCCGACCTCGGAGGCAAATTTGTTACAGCTCAGCAAAGCCACGTCGGGTCTTCCTGAGGACACCACTGGCTACCTGCACCCTGTTAACCGGTTGGACAGGCAGACATCAGGCACAAAATGGGTTCGCTAAGCCTAGCCTCTGCTGTAATGGTCCTTAGGTTCGTCTGTCGTGCTTTGAAGTCGCAGCTTGATGTCGTTTGCTCCATGTGGCTCCTCGTGCTTCTTTCAGAATGACAGATTTTCCCTGCAACAACGGTAAAGGGAGATCGGGCGCGAGTGACAGGTGGCTTGTTCTCAACACGGTCCAGTCTTGGCAGATCTCGTTTCTCTCTCGAAAGGCATCGTGCTCCTGGCAAAGACGCGAAAGGCATACATGGCATTGCTCCCAGCTGACAGGCTGCGGCTGGCTTTCGTAGTTTCATGCTGTCCCACCTGTCCTCCTGCCGGCGGCCCGGCCCCACATATACATCTATGTACTGCGTGTGTGTATATATATATATACAGAGACATACATACATACATACATACATACATACATACAGAAAGGTACCCACCTTCAGCTTGTGGCCTGACGATCCTGTATCGGCAAGTCACCTCGCAGACATGATCACCTGTTCCATACGCGAAGCTGAAGCCCCTCTCCTGCCTCCTGTGTTTGAGCCACAGGAGAGTAGGGCCTGGTGCTGAGGTGAGTGTTATAAGAATAGGCGATGGCCCAGCACGCTCAGTGTGTGCATATGTATCTTGTGTCCCTATTGCAACTGTATGTATTGTGCTTGCACGTCACGCTCTATGGCTCTATGAAACAAGTGCATGAGGTATGCATGTACATTTCACTGCTGTGTGTCTAGACCTACAGGTTTAGAAGTTTTCCGTACGTACTTGTCTGAAGTGCTTCAAGACTTGCAAGGCCTTGGCTCAGGAGCATGGCGCCGGTTTGCGGAAGGCGGACGCAAGGGATCCGGGACAGAGGATGATCTACTTGAAGAGCAGCTTAGGATTCGGGATGGAGGGGCTACATGTTTATTGGACGGCCTACAGGGGTTTACTTAGGGCCTCGGGTTACCGGACGGGTTATAGGGTCTTTGGGGTTTGCTCATCAGAGATGTGAAGATTTCAGAGAGTCTGGACGTCCAGGTTCCAGGGCTTGGAGATCGAACCGAGCACAACGAAGATGCTCTAGATCCTCTACCCTCGCATCGCAGTATTTTGGACAGCGATTCACAACGCAGTGTGTGACCGAAGCTGAGTTCCAGACGGGATAAGTCCGACAGCACACGAGCCACGACTCGCTCCACCTGATCGAGCAGACCTTGCAAGTAGGTTTCGGAGTTTAGTTAACTAGGTAGGGCTCAGGGGGCTTATCACCAGGGTAGTACACTACTGCAATGTGTCATGATATAGGAGTAGTACAGTAGAGTGTAGTAGATTGTCAAAGGTATAGAAAAAAGACTGTAGAGTATAGATATGTAATGTACAGTGTATACTGCATCAAATAGCACAGTGCAGCAAAGCATGCGGACCCAGAACAAGCCCAAGCCTTGAACCGCCAGCTTTATGTCGCGGGCGTTTGCGGCAGCTTCGATGCCTCGGTAGCCATCGAGCGGTGGCCGCATCTGGGCTTCACTTGACTTCTACTGTGTTTACGGTTTGGTGCCGTTTACGGCTTTAGGCTTGCAGGGTTCTAGCTTTGGGCGTTGAGGGTTTAGTGCAGGTGTGGAGCTTAGCGATAATTAGGAAGATTGTGACTGCAGGGTGTCGTTCGACATGTGGCGATGTGCTAGAGGGCATCCGGGTCGTTTCCTAATGTTCCACGACTTCATCTGCTAAGGTGTCACAATTTTCTGCATGCAGCATATCTCGTTTTGTTGAACATTCATGCCACCCCTGCATGCAGATTCTCGTGTGGGCAGGTCTAGATGTACTTGAGCCGCTCGTGAGGTTAAAAGTGTTTTTGTATACATATATATATATATACATATCTATGTATGTATTGCTGTATGTATGTATGTATGTATGTATGTATGTCTGCAGCAATAACCACTGGGTTTGAAACTGCAAGCCCAAAGGCAGTGGGTGGAGCGCCGAACCACCGCGAAGGGCGACGAAGAGGCGGCCCTCGAGCGACGACTTCGTAGCATAGGAAGCTTGGCCGTGAGTCGGGGCATTGCATCTCTTGGGAGTGAGGGGGGAGTGTGTGCACGTTATGTGTGCATGTAAATGTGACGAGATGCACAGAGACAGAGAGACAGAGAGAGACAGACAGAGAGCTCTGAGCGCAGAGAGAGGCCTGACTTCTCCATCGGGGCTCAGACCTCATGCGTGCACATCTGTACCTTCGATGACTGGTGCTTTTTCAACAGTACAAGAAAAGACAATGAATATCACAGCATATGGGCCAAAGGCCAAAAGCTGAAGAGGCTGAACAAAACTAAGAAAAGTTGAAAATAGAAACCCTCAGTATAGCATGGCTCCTGGTCGCATGTAGCAGAGAAAGGTTTTATGGCAATGGTTGAGGAGGTGCCTGAGTGGGTCGTCTATAACAGGGTTACCGTTGGGCTGCGGCGTTGGCAGCCGAGAGAGTGGTGCCAGACTTTTGTGTTCCTGCCAAGAGAGACTCTAGCGTCTGAAAACCTGGTTAAACTGGGATTCTACGTCAGGGCTGGTTCAGGACTTTGCTTTCTGAAGCTCTGAAGCTACGAAGCTCGAGGCGTCAGGAGCTTCAGGGCTTCACTTGTTCTGCGAAGCAACCAGGGCGGTCCCTCGAAAATGGATGAACAGAAAGGAAAATTTATCGAAACCCTAGAATGCCGTAGAAAACCAAGACGAAACAACGCCTGGAAAACAGAGCAACAGTAAGGAGAACTTCCCGAAACCGAACAAACCCAACAGAAGCGAAGACAAGCTACTGCCCAGACAAAGCTAGAAAAGCACTAAACACAAATTAACTAAAGCTCAATAAAGCTGGAATGTGTTTAATTCCCGGACGTTTTTTTCAGCAGCCTTCCTGAACAAGACTGGAGCCTCTCAGAGCCTCAGTAGCCCGCTTTTAAACCATCATGCAGTGAGCATTCACATGTCAAAGTCCCAGTCTAGCAGGTTTGGCAATGGAATGATTTCTCATTTGCCCTACCAGCGTGGATTCTTTGCAAAAGATCTATCTTGCAAAATTCTAGTTCCCTTGCTCGTTGCCCGTGAAGAGGCCTCCGATATAGAGGGTACAAATGTGCACACATGAAGACCGACAACTGTTGATGTTTTTGTTTGTGGCTCAGGACTGTATAGGCTGCGGCAGGGGATCACACTTAGTTTTCTTACATGGGGGCCCTGTTTCCCCTTACCAACAGCCACAACGCTGGGACCCACTCTGTACCATCAAGCGCAGACTTAAGACCTTGGCGTAGCGCATGCGCTTAGGGGTGCAAGGGTTCGCTCTTGTCCCCCAAACGCCCAGCGAGCCAGCCAGCAAGCAAGCAAGCCAGCGAGAGAGAGGGAGAGAGAGAGAAGAGAGAGAAGAGAGAGAAAGCGAGAGAAGGCGTGCGTGGTCACTCGCTTCGAGTGGGCTTGCAATGGCTGGCAGGTGGTTTGCCGCTTGCCGTTGCGGGTGGAGAAGCACCGGCCCAATCAGCCACTCACTGTGGTGGTGGACACCACAGGCCGGGTCTCCAGACGATCCGAGGGCTGTATTTGCCAGCCATGCTTTGTTGGCTACCTGGCTTTTCGTCTACGGTGTGCGCGCAGCGAGCAAGAGTGCCACATACCAACCCAGATCCCATCCCTAGCCTTCACAAAGTCTGTGTCAGATTTTTGTGGCAGGAGCCGGCAAAGCTGCCGAGACGATGATACGGCAGCGAGGTGAGAGCCTTCTCTGCCGCCTGGAGACAGGGCCGGGGCCTTTGCAAAAATGGGGGGAGGGGGTACCTTATTTTGGGATCCTATTATTTGGGGTGCTATATTGGGGTCCCCTATTAAGGCTACAGAATCTTCGGGGGCTGTGAGGGCGCATTCTTGTGGTTTCCTTGGGTTGAAGTGGGTCAGTGATGCATGGGGCCGCATCGGCCGTCCTCACGCCATGCCATGTACGGCGAATGTACGGATATTAGCGGAACGTGGATTCTAGAATGGCCAGCATGCTGCTGTCAAGCAACCCGACGAATACGGCTCCCGGAGTCACAGCAAGGCGGACCCACCAGATCCGTGTCCATCTTGCGGCCATGGGTCTGGGCCTCACAGGAGGCGTAGTCTTTTCACAGTGATGGTCAGGGCCAGTAGGCCGAGTTCTGCAAGTTTCTGCCGGTTCACCACTGTCAGTCCTAGGCTTTCCGATTCTGGGTGACCCGGTCTATGGCACCACCACGGAGCATGAGGACAACGGAAGATAGCGCCATGTAGCGCCTTTTGCTCGCCTTGCTTGGTCCAGCTCTGCTGGTTAAGAGCAAAGTCTCGTTGAGCATCGTCGTTTGCTCAGCTCCGACATCCTGAGCTTGGCTCAACCTTCTCAGTAAGTCGCAAAAATTCCTGTCGGAGTCGGGCAAGTCGCAGACATGCAGAACTTGCCAACGCTGCTGCGGCCGTGTAGAACCGCAGCTTAAAGCAAGCTGACGCCAGCCGTCTCTTAGGAATGTAGGCCTATAGACTCACCGCAGGATGTGATGCAACTCCATGCCTCGGTGTACTCGGTGAAGCTGGACCGGAGCCTGGATACCGGAAAGGCTTCGGAAGCGCCCGGGAAGGGGAGCCGGTTCAATGCATCGAAGCATATATTGTGGCAGATTTAGATGAACAGCGCCTATCATCTACCCATAGGCCCCTAAGTAGTTCCTTGTTGGGATTACCTTATAGGATTCTAAATATAAACCACAAAAAGGAACTACTTAGGGCCTATGGGTAATATGACAACATAGCGCTTCATGCTGCGGACGCTTGCAACAGACATGCACAACAGACAACCCACCGACATGTACAAGGATCAGACGAGTCGGGAACCACATCGATCCATTTGGGCATCGCCTCCGTTTAGGGATCAAACCTTCGGAACCCCTCGTAGCACTTGCTCTCATTCGTACGCCCCATTTTGTCCGAAGCGTGCTGTCGACGCAGGCTCGTGTGCCGACCTTGTGAATCTCTGAGACTCTACGGTTTGTAGGAGCTCTAGGAGAATTTGGAAGCAAATTCACAGGCTCTAAGAACTCTGAGCTGTGTGTCAAGAGCCGAGAAGCTTCGGGGAGGCGCTGGCGGACATCCTTCCAAGACCTCAGCTCGTGAAGTCCGCCGAAGGCTCGGGAGCTCTTTGAAGCCTCAGGAGGCTTTTGTGCGTCGTAGTGTTCTGAAAGGGGCCCGCGATGAGCACGAGAGGTGTGTGGAATCCAAGATGCATGCTGGAAGCCGTTTCGTTTGCGGCTCTGCAGAAAATGTAGAGGAGAGGCTTTTTCCGATGCTTCGTTCCCTTGTGGCTGCCTTGTTTCTGGCCTCTTCGGCTCAGGCGGCCAAATCCCTTCGCGAACGGCTGCATGGGAGTTCGCCGTGCCAGTGTCAAGCGGACACTTCTGCGGTAGCCAGGCCCAGTCGCACGAAGCCGAAGTGCATCTTCATCGATCTCGGGGCTGCGGATGGCAACAGTTACAACGCCTTCCTTCGAGGCGAATATGGTCAGATTAAGGACTGCCCGAACCAGGAGTATGAGGCGTATCTGGTGGAGGCAAACCCCTTCTTCCAGAAGGAGCTGAAGAACAAGGCCGCGAAGTCCGCACCCGGAAAGGAGCAAGGGAGATCCAAGATAAAACCCACAGCTGCCGTCAACTCGCGGGGCCTTGAACCCCGAAACCCCTCGCCTAAGCCTTAACAAGCCCCTAAACCCCTAAACCTGTCAACGCTTAAACGGTAGACTCTAAACTGTCTTGGAAGCCCTTGAATCCGGCTGCCAGCACATTTGAGGGTCGCGTGGGCCCCCTGGAGGAGATTTTCCCCATGATGAATGGCGCCTGGATGTGCGAGGCTGACACCACCTTCCACGTCGTAGGCAAAGCATCAGCACCTTGATCTCATACTAGGGATATAGGATACAGGGCTAGGGTTTCGGAAGTGTGGCTTATAAGGGTTGATGATAGTGTGCAGTTGAGGGCGTTCGTGAAGGCCGCGTCGAAGTGTTGGGAGATCCCGGGGTCAGTTCACATGTGAGTAGCAGGTAGCTTGCAAGTCAGGAGTGCAACTGCGCAGCCCGTCATAGTGAATGGATAGTAGCAATGATTTTAAGTCTTCTTCTAGTAGACGATAGTATAGCAGCAGTGGATCAACAAGAACAAGTATTGGACAGTAGGAGTAGTGGCAGGAGTAGCAGTATAGGCATAGTAGTAGAGTAGGAGTAGGAGCTGGAGCAGGAGTAGTAAGCAGTAGCAGTAGCAGCAGCAGAAGCAGTAGCAGGAGGATCAGTAGCAGTCACTAGGAGTAGGAGTAGCAGTAGGAGTAGTAGTAGTAGTAGTAGTAGTAGGAGGAGGAGGAGGAGGAGTAGTTGTAGTAGTAGTACTGGGAATGACATGTTCTGTGTCGGTTGTATAGCCATGCTCCTGCTCGCAAGGCTGCATCATCCCTCGCTCCACAAGGCAATGCGAATGATGTACAAGTGCATTTGATCAACGTTATTTCTCTCATCAAGTCCAAGACGATCCCGGGAGACAAAGTGCTGCTGAAAGTTGACATTGAGGGCGCCGAGTTTGATCTCATCCCTTGCCTGGCACGCTCGGATGTCCTAAGCCACGACATGACTGCCTTTGTGGAGGAGCACTATTTCCTCGGTGGTGTGAAGCGCAGCCTCACCGGTGTCACGGATAAGGAGTATAAAGATGCCAAGCAGGTAATGATGTCCAAGGGTGTGAAGATGCCTACATACTCTTCCATCACCCTTCTGGATAAAGGCGAGTGAGAATTCATGAGCGTGCGGCTCGTGAAGGAAAATGACTGCTGGTGACGCTTGGGCTTGGGATAGGATAGAAGCTTCATTAATTGGTACCAATTCACAGAGAGGATTGCCTCAGCGTACACCCTTCGCCCCTGCAATCACTTCAAGAAGTGTTACATGAGCTTGCTGATAGTGCCAGCGAAGTCGCACGGCTCCACTTTGCATGTGTTCTCCAGCGCTAGCCGCGCAGAGCACCCCGGCGTAATCATATGACGTTGTACCACGGAAGAAGATCCTCAGATTGCACCACTGGAGCCGAATCTTAAACCCCGCATCCGGGATGAGATTATTCCTCCCTTCCGGGTGATTGTAGAATTCTGAACCCCCCCCCAGACCTTCTCCGGTGTCTACTCTCCAGGTCTTCATGGCCTCTGGGACGGCGAAGGCGGCGGAGCAGATGCCGTGACCTATGCCTGCGCCGACCCGCCCTGGCTCACCGAGCGAGAAAGGCCGCCTTCAGGCTGATGCTTCTTTCAGAATATGAATATATTTATTTATTTAGTTAGTTATTTATTTATATTAATTATATATATATATAATACATATACATAATATAGAGAGAGAGAGAGAGTGTGTTTGTTTGTTTAGAAATAATGGTCGCAAGCAGCACTGCTAGTTAGTTTGCCTGGGAATACCACTAGTTCATAGTTGGAGCAAGAGAAGAACAGGCAGAGCACCCAAAAAGATTCAGTTGTAGCTCTTGGCTCTTACTTCGGCTTGCCGTTGCAGCACGTTAAGGTAGGGGAAGTCATTTGCGTTGAGGAATACAACGTTTACGGTATAGTATAGTGTAGTATAGCAAAGCATAGTACAGTATTTATAGTGTAGTAGCTCGCACCAAGCAATCAACGAGTGCACGGGGTTTAGGGTTTGGACTATCAGTCCCCTCCATCCCAAACTCTTCCAGCACACCAGCAACCCAAACAGTTGCTCTACTCCCAAGTGTTGGCTGGTATTGAGAGCACCTGACAGGCTGACCACAACCTCAGTGTACTGCACATGCCTTGCTGTTGAGTTGAGTCAGGAAGAAGATCTTGCCGTACTGGACCCGCCCACACATCGGCAAACATGAGCAGCAGATCGCATCGTCAAAAGATGAGGCAGCCGCAATCGCTAGGTTCTCATGCCCAGGAACCACCCCGCCATCACAGGCATCTCTCCGATCGTCCTTCACACGGGGTAGTTCCTTGGGATTCTGTCCCTTGTACTGCCATGGCGCTGACCATGCAGCCGTCCAACCCGAGGGCCTCTGCTGGGAGCTCGGAGTTCCACAGATGTTTGCTCTAGAGACGAAATGAGAAGATAAGGTACATTAACGTACTTTCCGAAATGAATGCGGGAAAGTACTATAATACACAAGAAATACTATACCATACTATATTATACTGTAGATAACGCATTGCCGAGTCCGTCCTACCGAACCTGCTGTTATTCCTGACACATCCATCGGATGTGTGGCAAACTCAGCGAGCTTTGCAAGACGGATCCTCCTGTTTAGGGCTCTGTTGGGGTAATTTGTTCTCTGAGACTCCCGTATTAGTAGCAGCAGCAGCAGCAGCAGCAGCAGTGGTCCCCCCGCTTTTGAAAGACGCAGCTGGCAGCAGGCCCCAACCGCGCCAGTTCTGCACCGATCCAGGACAGGGTTCTTTGGAAATCGAGGTTTGCATGGCACTGACGATAACGGCTGCTTGTGTCCTTGATGATGATAATGCCCGTACGATTAATCAGGAGGATGGCGATGAACAGCAATGATGCTGTTTTGGTCATGAAGCTGGTAATGAAGGAGGAAAGTGGTGTTGATGATGGAACGGATGACAGTGATGTGATAAGGATGAGAAGAAGGAGAAGAAGGTGAACAGCTCGACGACGATGATGATGAGTCTGATTGACGAGAGCATGATAGTGTTGCAGAGCACGTCGGCCACGTCGATGATGACCAACTGATTTTGTTCCGGTGCCGACAGACAGGACACCACTGTAAACCCCTCATGGCAAAAGAAGGTGCGACCAGCTAACATGAGAGAGAAAGTGAAAACGGAAGCAGGAACGCCTGTGGCAGCACTTGACTACTCATGTACTCAACTACGCCAGAAGACAACCAAGCTAGAATCCCACATCGATGACGGATTGCTGTCATGATGACGACCAACGTTTGGACTGGTGTAGCTTGGTTTTGGCCGTGCTTCTACTCATGGATTTTTGCTGCTGCTCCGGATTTGGTTGACAGCCGCGCGTTCTCGGAGTTCGGGTTGGTCGTGGTGCCGGTGTTCTTGCATGCAGAAATTAAGGCCACAGCTTGCAGACATCAGGTGCAACTAATTATCTAGATCCCAACGCGTGACAGAAACCTATCTATCTATCTATCTATCTGTCCATCTATCTATCTATCTATCTATCTATCTATATGTATATACATAAACCCTATAGGCCATAAACCCGAACCAACCAGCATCCACCGGAGGTTTTCCAGTTTTCCAAAGCTCAGCGTTAGCGCCTTTACCTCCAGGGTCGAGGGCTTTGGCTTAGTCCCGGTCGGGTGTTGCGCACTTGGCTCGACGTTCTTTTTGGTTACCTCACTATCTACAACTGCGCTGGGCCGTTTTTATGGCCGCAACCGAAAGGCCTGAAGCCATTTTGCAGGACGGAGCCTCACCCTGCACGGCTGTCCTCGAGCACCAATCGGGCAGGGATTGTCCATTCTTCCGGATGCTGGGGGAAATTTGCGTGCTCTTAGACTTGCGAGTGCATCGACGGATCGAAGGGTTCCTTACAAACTTACTAGGACCCTGGGAGTGCACGCTGTGTCGGTTTTGGTTAGTAACCTGCCTGACTGCGAACACTGGTAGACAACCTCTTGAAGCTCGCCCAGTCTCGAACTGGAATCAGCTTTGGTGAGTGCCCCTCGTGATACTGCAGTGTATTCTGTAATGTGTTTTCGAACAAATAGTTTCCCGTCGCGACATCGGCTTTGGACATCAGCCGGGAATAGAGTTTTGATGCTGCCTGCCGCGAGCAGCAAAGCATCGTAGCAGAATCGTGGACCCGAAACAAGTGCCATGTATGTGCACGCATGTATCGTGTGCATGTATGCATGTATAGATGCACGGATGTATGGATGATGCGTGCAAGCAAGGAAGCAAGCATGGCATGCTGGCTGTGCCCGGCTATTTACATTTACATGTACACGTTGACCTGCATTTACAAGTTTAGATTTGTTTATTTATATGGATGTAGTTTCGTTCATGCATAGACACAGACAGAAGAACGAACATACCTACACATGCACGGGCACATGCCGCAAGCATGCAGATGCGCACGGCCATGATTTAGCTGTGCCTGTGCGATTTGGCTGTGGTCTTGACAATGTTGTGAGAACCGCCGTCAACTCAACATCTTGAACCTGGAAATCTGCATGCTTTGTGCTTCCAAACGGCCAAACGTCAGGAACTCCGAGACCCCGACTGCGAATCTCGAAGACCGATGCATAAACATGCAGAAGCCCCTGAAGTCCAGGACCCGGGGAGCAACAAATCCCCTGAACCCTGGCATGGGAACCCTTTAGCCCAAATAGCCAATGAAAGAGCCCCTAAACCTAAAAACCCTAAACAACCCTAAAGGCCCTATAAACCGTAAAAACCCTAAATAAGTCCTATAAACCCTTTCTAAACCCTATAAAGCTTAAAGCCCCAAGCCCGATAGAGGCCGCCGTGGCCTCGGCTGCACTCCTGGCGGCCGGGCAACTGGGTCGAAGGCAGCGACGTGGAGGCGGCGAGAGGGGCTTTGGAGAAATACCCATATAAGAGGTTTTAAAAGATAAGGGGTACCTTATTTTGGGGTCCTTGTAATACGGATCCTACTATTTAGGGTCCCCTATTTTCGGAAACCCCCATATAGAACCCCTATAGTACCCTTTTAGAAGCTCTATGGAAACCCTTGTAGATCTCTTTAAGGAACCCCTAAAAGGGAGCCCAATTGTTGTAAAAGGTCGTTATCAGGGTACTATATAAGGATGCCAATAGGGGGCTAGAAGGGTTCAGGGGTTCGGGGGCTTAGGGGTTAAGGATTTATGGGTTTAAGGTTTAAGGATTTAAAGCTTTGCAAAGACAGGTCTGAGGTTCATGGGATTTTCGAGTCTTTGGTGCATCTGGGTTGGGGTTTCAGTGGGGTACTTTGGGGGGTTAGGGTTCCGTAGGGCTCAAAAGCCCAGAACTTAAGGGAAGTACCTCGAAGTGAGATCGCGTAGACGCTGATGTTGTAATGTCATGCACAGATTTGGCATTCAGCGTTTACGGCGTGTGCTAGTTCTGGTGTAATAGCTAATAGCTCGACATCTTCCCAGAAGGCCGTAATTACCTTGAACAACGAGGGCTGTGGTTTTGCCGTGGTTCGCTTGCTGGGAGTTTTCACTTGAGGACTGCGTTTCGGTCAAGTGCGTAACTTGTAGGGTTGTGGGCTGGGATCTAGTACCGAACGCAGTGTCATGGACACCAACAGTAGTGCCAGCGGCGCTTCGCCCGATTTGCCCGAAATCTTTCAGCCGCTATCCGGAAGCTTCGCCGGAAAGATTGAACCCCATTGAAAGCCTTTCCGTCGTTATAGACCGACAAACTGGCAGCTGAGCTCCAAAATGGCGACCTTGCACTCCAGATGCTCAAGGACAACCTTACCCGTAAGCCCCTAGACCCTAAACCCTCGAACCCTATACCCTATACCCTACACCCTAAACCCTATATATACCCTAAACCCTAAACCTGAGCCTCAGGCGTCAAAGCATCGAAGACACGCATCCAGCGGCTCGAAGGTGCTCAGGCTCGGAGTGCCTTTGGAGTTGTACACTGCTGGAGTCTCCTTTCAGAAAGTAGTATACCGCGGATTATATTAAATGTATATTATAGCACGTTTTGGTTAGTTCATTACAGTACATTATGGTATACAAGAGATTCGGCATGAGGTGATGGCGCTGGCTGTCGTGGCTTGGGGGCCTGTGCACACCTATTCATACTAGGCAGACCTAGGATCGAAATCATGGTGAGCCCACCTAGAGACGATAATGATACTGGGAGTTAGAAACTTCGTGCTTGTGACACTTCTTGATACAAACACACTAGATGCACCATGATGCTGGACGCGCTGTTGTTGTGCTCAGCTGCTTTAAAGGTTCATGGCACGGGCAGGTTTACATTAGAGTCATTAGAGGGCAAGATGCCTGCCGAAACTGCAGACTCCCCTAGTCCAGCAAACTCCTACACTTTGCACCACACCAGTGACTTAGAAACAGTAGGTCTCTGAAACCACTTCCGACGGATTGAGCGCGACCATCACAGCACTGCAACGTCTAAAGATGACAGACACGCAAGGTCGGTAGAAGCAGTTGCAGTTGAGGGTCTGCCGAGATGTCGAAGCGACAGCCTGCGAATCGGGCAAATGCGGCAGAGAAGCGTCGGCGAGAGGGTCCTACAAAGACCGAGGGAGATGTGTCCATGCCTGCAGTGGCAGAGGCCGAGCACACACAGACGATGCAGCTGACCACTGAGACCGTGCTCGAAACCTACGATGTACAAATGGAGGGAGCCAACTGTGTGCACGAATGCGTCAGACCGGCGGAGCTCGCCGGACAGGGCAAAGCGCAACCGCCGGTCACGCCGGCCAAGACATATCCGTTTCAGCTGGACGTCTTCCAACAGGAGGCAGTGAACTGTCTCGAGAATAAGGAATCTGTCATGGTCGCCGCGCACACGTCCGCTGGCAAGACAGTCGTTGCGGAATATGCCATCGCCATGGCGCTGCGAGACAAGCAGAGAATTATCTACACCTCACCCATCAAAGCTTTGAGCAATCAGAAGTACAGAGATCTGCAGGATGAGTTCAAGGATGTTGGGCTCATGACAGGAGATGTGACAATCAATCCCCATGCCTCCTGCATGATCATGACTACCGAGATCCTGAGGTCAATGCTGTATCGAGGCTCCGATGTCTCGCGCGAAATGGCTTGGGTTGTTTTCGACGAGGTGCATTACATGCGAGACCGAGATAGAGGAGTTGTGTGGGAAGAAGCTATGATCTTGCTTCCTGACTCTGTTCGCTTGGTCTTTCTCTCTGCAACCATCCCCAACGCCCGGGAGTTCGCAGAGTGGATCTGCCGAATCAAGCACCAGCCCTGCCACGTGATTTACACAGACAAGCGTCCGGTGCCTCTGCAGCACTACCTCTTCCCTTCCGGCGGAGACGGGGTCTACATGGTGGTGGATGAGAAGCTCGGGTCTTCGTTTCATAAGGCTAAGGAGCGATTAATTCTAACGTTTGAGAAACCCGAAACCCTAGGTCCACTGAGGGAGGAATCATCCAAATGGTTTTACAGTTCATGGAGGGTTTGGGAAGTAAGGCCGAAACTGCAAAACAGAGCTGAACCAAGCAGTTGTGTTGATCGACTTCGAGTTCAAGTGTTCTGCAGTTCTCTCGAGTCTGGCCAGGTTTGCCCATCTGAGTGTCTCAAATCGGCAACCCTGTGGAAAGCAAGAACACCTACCTAAACCCTAGACCCTAGACCATTAAACCCTAAAACCCGAAAACCCAAAACCCCAACAAAAAACCCCAAAACCCTAAACCTAAACCCTCCTAAATCCTGAAGACTAACGTCAGGAAAGGCCAGTTCCGGGAGGACAACTTTCACAAGGCGGTCGGGGCCCTCCAGCAAGCTGCGGATGCTCAAAATGTGGAGACCAAGAAGTCGCAAGGCTGCCCTGGGGTGACTTCGAGGTGTTGACGGGCGAGAGAGTCGAGGATGTAAGTTGAGGTGCTTCCCAGGAGTAGGGAAGCAGGAGTAGGATATTTGTTTGGAGGGAGAGAGAGAAAGCGATAGGGAGAGAGAGAGGGAGAGAGAGCGAGCGAGAGAGGTGAGAGAGAGAAAGAGTGAGAGAGAGAGAGAGAGAGAGAGAGAGTGAGAGTTTCTAGGTGGGTGGGGGTATTTTCCTTCTCTTGTGGGGAGTCACGCAGAATGTCTTCGCCCGCAGGATAATATGGTGTTCAAACGGTGCTAGCAGCACAAACCAGGGCGATTCGAACCGAGCAAGCACCCCCGACATTTTGATGCAGTCGGTTGCCTGTGACATCAAAACCTGGAAAGTCAAACACAGTCTCCGACAAGCAACTGCCACTACCGCTGCTGTTGCTGCTGCTCGTACTTGAGGAGGAACATCTAGCTTCTGTTGTTGTCACCAGAGCGGCTGCTGCCATTGCTGTTATTTTTTTCATTCGTCCTACTATACTGTCTCTTCTTCTTTATCCCTAAACCCTAAACCCCTAAACCCCTAAACCCTAAACCCAGTTATTCTTTCCATGACAACCTGGGCAACCCAAGGAAGTTGGCGAAGCGGGGGAAGTCGAACCTCGGAGACCTCGAGAAGCCGCTTGGGCTCAGAGAAACCCAAAGCCGGAAGGCCCAGGCGGTGCCTTCGAAACGCCTTGGGGAAAAGGCACCCCAATAGGGTGTCGAATTTTTCTTCAGGGTTTCTATTTTTAGGTGTTGAATTTGTGGTATTCATACTGGTACCCTTTTTCTAACCCCACTCCCAAGTGCGTGATGGATGCAATCTGCACCCGAACGCGGTCCTGCCGGACCCACCCTGGAGCCCCCTTGGAAGGAATCCTGTCTGTGGACCTCCTGTCCTGGACTCAAACTCGACATCTCTCTTCGCTTTAAGTTTCATGTAGGGGGCTCTAAATATTCAGTGATCGTATTCCCGTGTTATCCTCCCTGTGTTCTTTGTGTCATATGCCCCAAAACCCTATCTAGATACGAAGGCCCCCGCAGTATGGTCCTGGTCCAAACTCAGAGCTGACGAAATTCTGCAATGGCGATTTGCTGAGCATAAGTTTGTAGAGTTTGCAGGGTCGTTCGAAAAGAACCTGCAGGACCCAGAGCGTCGCTATACAGAACGAAGAAACGCGAGTTGTCAGAGCTCGTCGTCGTCGAAGTCGTGGCCCGTCGGAGTGGGGCAGCAGTGAGTGCTACAATAAGGACTGCGAGCAGGAGCGGCAGTAGCATCTGCCAAGCCTATCGAGCTCGGCGCTTCGAGCATCTAAGGATCGTGCGGATGTGCAGCGACCGGGGGTACCTACCCCTGATTGTGCCACTTGGCTTGAACCTCCCAAAACTCTATCAACAAAGATCGGGTTATACCTCGTGAGGCCGGAGTTGAATGCCGGGAGGTTAGAGTCCGGCTGTTAGGGACAACCTCCCTGTGGAGCAAAGCTCTCACACCGACGTAGCCGTGCTCGTGGGGAGTGTGAGGTGTGATTTGTGGAAGTCATTCTGGGCGTAGGCATAGACATGTGACATGGGCAGGCCAAACATGAAAAGGTGTCGTGGAGTTGTAGCCGCGGGACCGAGGTTCTCATTTCTAGTCTAAGCCTCCATGCAGACGGAGAGACAGCGTAAGTATGCACGCAAGCCTCGAAGTAAAATTATTTCCCCAGAATCCCTGTATGTGACTTATAGAAGCGCCGAAACCCTGTTGGCTGCATCAGGAAAGGCTACCCAGAATTCCTGTCGGCCTTGACCCACCAGGCGAAAACACTAAGAGCAGTTCTCCAGGTTCTCTTTCAGCCGGAAGGAGTGTGAGGCCAACGCTGTAGCCTTGAAGCGGATGGATGTCACTGACGACGACGAGAAGAAGCTCATCGACGAGGCCCTGGCAGGGCACGGTTTCCAGTCAATGAGGGCTGGAACCAGAGCTCCCCTAAAACCTAAAGCCTAAACCTGCCCAGGCCGACCGATTAAGTGGATCTCCGAGTTCTCGTCTCTGTTAGGTTACCACAGAACAGATCCTCTTGACTGCAGAGTGCAGCTTGTTACTAGCCTTCTGGGGGTTAAGGGTCTTGGCGCCTGGTGTGATCTAACGACCCAGGGGCCCTCCTCCATCTTCAGGACGGTGATTAGGGCTCAAATTGTTCGGCTGAAACCTTTGTCATGCCTCGGTCTTAGCTGTATTCCAGGTGTGCGTAGCTGCCTTGTGCCACACCTTCGGCAAACCCGAGGCAAGAACCCACAAGGTGTCGGAATGCAAGCTACGAAGCCTGGCAGGTGTTCAACAATGCAATCATGACACTGGGTGACGAGGACAGGGAGCTCCCTCAGGCGCTTGGTTGAGATGTTGCACGAGGGCGCGAAAGATTGTGAATTTCCGTTGTACTGGAGAGTCTCAATGTTGATAAAGCCTTGGAGCTATGTCATGAGTCTCAGAGTCGTTTGGGACGCATCCCTCAAGGTGCAGAGTATGCTGCCCTTGCTGCGAAGGGGGTTGGGAATCCATCACGGCGGCCTGCTCCCAATGCTTCTCGGCTGACACCGCGAGGTAGCCAGAGGTCTCTTGGTACACGTGGTTGAGAAGATGAATTCACATGGCATCTTCCGAAATCCCTTGACTGAGAAGTGTGGTGCCTCAGGGCTCATGTGATCATCGAATTCTAGGAGTAACGTCGCAGTTTTGCTCGTTTCGTGCAGGGAGCCCATACAGACAAGCGCATAGCCAGTTTGCCGGCGCTGCAAGCTGTAAGAGAAAGAGAAGCACTTGTTCACTGCCGGAGGTTTGAGGTTGAACCAGTTCAGGCCGTCGGGATAGTTGGGAGCATGGCAGACTGCCACCTTCTGAAGATCAGGTTGAAAGAGGTGGTGGAGATTCTTTTCCAGGCACGGGCTGAGAAAAGCTCATGGACGTGGCACAACAACCCAATTCTTTCTTGATTTGGGCGTGGCGTGTCAACACCCCAGCACCCCCCTAGGCACCGGAAGTCCCTTATAGAAGCTCGAGACACAACTGACATCCAGTTCTGGCGGCAGCAATTGATAGATAAGCAATCCAGATTTTCAGGAGTCTCTCATCAAAGTCCTTTTCTCTACGGAGACCTTTGCCATGGGAATCAACATGCCTGCCAAGACAGTGGTCTTTACGAACACCCGTGCCTCGGATACATCCGGAAGCTTGCATTTCGGGGTGCACCCCAGGAGGTCGGTAGTCTTCGCATCTCCAAGGACTGCAATGGTAAAGCCCAGCTAGGCCTCTACTAGGCTTTGGTGTCTTCGTTTGTTGCGTGATTGCCCACGGTACGACAACTGGAAGCTTGCTGCGATGATCCTTTGTAGGCCCCTTTTGGACGCCAGGCTGCTTCAGCGGAGCCCTTGCCAGTTTAGGACCGTTCAGTTCCGTGCTAGCCCCTGTTCAGCGCTAGTGTTAGTGTTAGTCTTCCTGGTTACTACCAGGTAAGAGCTACCATGAAAACCATTTATCCCTGAACCTATCTTTAGAAGCTGGAGCCCTTGCCAAGCACCCCTGTTCCCATTCACTCGCCTCCACCGCTCTCTCGCTGCAAGTCTCTGTGCAAGTGGCTGTGACGTGCACTTGCCAAAGAGCTCGCAAAGCACGCGCAAGGTGATGAACATCAAACCAGCCGGGACCAGCGCATTGTTGGGCATCTCCGCAACTCGGGTTCGAGTCCTTCGTCGATTCCAGTTTAGATTTGTGCAAGTGTGACAAGCTACGAATCCGACAACATGGGCTTGCACCATCATGGTGAGACTGGAACCCTACATGTGTCTCTGACGGCGCTCAGCCACTCTGGCATCAGTCACCGTCCCACAGCGAAGAGCGCCAAGTGCCAACGTACAAGCCTGGTGAAGAGAACGGGATCCAGTCTTCGGGCCGAGACATGAGTTGGAGTAAGCTCATTGAGGAGGTGCACGCAAAGGAGTTCATCGACTTTTTGATCGAGGTGCGCCAGAAGAACCAGCCGTCTGAATCCTACCGCTTGGAATTCAAGCCGTTCTCCAGGAACCAGCTGGGGGACTCTGTACGATTTGCCGTCATTGATGCCAGCAGCAGCTTCGCAGGAAGGACGGCCAACCTACGGCAAGCTTGTTTGCGTTTTCGCCGGCCTTATTAGTTCGCGATTTGCTTGGTGAGTTCGCAGTTAAGATGGCGGCTTCATCCGATTTTGGGCGCAGTGGACAGCGTCGACTCCAAACGCAGGTTGCCCGTTCCATGATTGCTCAACAACTTAACGCATCACGAGAACACAAGGGTCTCTGGACAGACCGTCGAGCTGTGACGCACTCCCGCAGGACTGGCACTCTCTCAAGTACAGTACCGTTCAAGGCACACCCGCATGTACTTTGCGTAGCACAGCATCTGAAGGCATGTCCTGATCGAGACCAGAAGCACAGATGATGCTTGCGGTCGCATCTCACATGCCATATTTTGCATGTTGACACTGACGAGTTCTACATGCTAGTTTCCAGGCAAAGTCAGTATGGCATGGGCATTTCTTTGAAAGGCGTGCAGAGCAACCATGCACCGGCCATGATGCATGACAACGATTGACAACGATTCCCAGACACGCAGGGATACAAAAAAAAAATGGCGAAGTCGGAGTTCAGGGTTGAAGGGTTTGGAATCTTAGGGCTCAATGAGGCTTAATGCCCGGATTTAGCACATGGGCTGTCGCGCAGACTTGCTTCTTCTGGGGTGGTGGTAGCGGGGCCTAATGAGAGGGACTTGTGCTGGCAAGAGATCCTTGCTTTGCCAAGGCAAGTGGGACGGCATCGAGTATCGGATCCTGCATGCGGGTGAGTACATCCAGATGAGCTTTGATGCACTTGGCTTTAGGCTCCGCCTATCCCGCACTCCCACATCTTTTGATATTTTGAAGTGCAAAGAAGAAGGCCCTCTTTGGCAATGTCCCTACACTAGCCCTCCTAAACCCTAGACCCCTAAACCCCTCGACCTTCCACCACCAAAGCCGAAATCCTCAAAACCCTAAAACCAAAAACCCTAAACCCTAAACCCTAGACCTTTGCCTAAGGAGCGGTCGCGCAGGTCGGCGAGGGAAGGTCCGGCGTGGCTAACTAGGGGCCTTTAATGAATGGAGGGAATATACCTTCAGGATCCTACTACAATTCCGTTAGTGAGTGAATTCTTGAGGGATTTAGAGAATCTGGAGTTTAATTATAAGATTTTCGGACTGGGCTTTCGGGTCTTCGGCTTTATAGGAGTGAGCTAGCTCTGCTTCACAATCACTACGGCTTGAGGGATCGTCGCAAGTCATGTAGGGTGCTTGGGTTTAGGACTCACTTTCGTGTGCAACTGTGTCGTGAGCCGTCGTGAGAGAGTTGGAACTTGCTATTGTGCTGCCATGTGGGGCATCTCAACCTTAAACCCTAAACCCTAAATAGGGGGAGGGAAGGGGGCACCATGTTGATGTTGGCCGCCAGGATGATCGTGGCTTGACCATTATCATGTTTGACGAGAAAGTGGAACCTGAAGTGGCGAAGGAGTGGTTGATGGTTTGAGCTCGAAAGCCTCCCGACATCAGTGAAGACATGGTGATCCACAAGGCACTTCGACTCTGATTATCCCCATGAGTACGACTAGTACCATTGTTGTAACTCGTGTTTGCACACTCGTTACAACTCTGACGAGCGTCTTGCTGCAAATACAATGACTAATGATCTTACTATGTTGCTTGTACTAGTAGTTAGTAGTAGCATGGGTACTGTGAGTAACTATTACGATTACTACAATCACTCTTATTACTATTATTACTGCTGCTGCTGCTGCTGCTGCTGCTGCTAACATTACGAGTGTTACTAGTATTACAAGAATTCGTGTTATCTCGATTGTTGCTGCCATGATTGATGTTAACACAATTATTCTTCTTGTGTTTACAAACATGTTCATGTTACTAAAAATGGCAAGTACAAGTCTTACTGGTACTGTTGTTATGATGCTTATGAATTATCAATGCGTTGGATATGGCTGCTTTTTGTCATGTCCTTTGCAGGAGATGTTCTTGGGCCAGTCCTCGAAGATCTTCAGTGCCTTCCACCTAGGCTACAACATGTCACGAGGCTTGCTTTATTGGGGTTTGAGGTCTAACTTGATTTTAAACGCTTCGCGTCGTCCGTCTCGGCCTGGCTGTACTTGAAGCAGGTGCATTGTTTCGGAAAGCAAGAGGTAGGTCACACAGGCGAGGTCGTGAGTGAATGACTGCGTTTGCCAGAGTATTTTTTTAACGCAAACATTTGTGTTAACGCTGGGGCTCTGAGGAGTGATCCCACGCGAAAGGTGGCACATTGACTGCATGCAATCGCGCATAGACGTCAGGACCGGATTTCAAAGTGTTGCGAAATGTACGGGGGAATCAAGCTTGGCAACAAAGTGCAAGACACAACCTTTGAGTTGCCGTGCTTTGTCATCGAATTCGCGAATGATGTAAGCTAGCCCGTCTTGGCCGGGCCGTAAGCAAAAGACAGGGAAAGGGATGGGGAAGAAACCTGACAGACCGGGGCTCGCCGAGGTGGGTGTATGGGAAAAAACGCTGGGGGACCCACTCTGCACCAGCAAAATCTCTGTGGACGTAGGATCCAATTTTGGGGGTGGGCCTCGGTAAGGAGGGGGGTGAACCTCTGACCGCTTCGGCCATCGCCATCGCGAATAACTTAGTATAGTAGCCTTCAATTTAATTTAGCTCTGATAGTATGGCAGCCCTTGTCTTAAGCCTTCCTGTAGCTGGGTATAATTTATAATAGCATAGCAGCCAGTAAAGGTGACATTGAGATATAGTTGCCCTGTTGCTGGTTGCAGGCCTTGTCAGCAGCAGGTAGCTCTTGCAAGAGGGTTGCCTGGAGACGTTTTGATTTGCAGCATCTCAGGTTTCATTATGCCCCAGGAGGCCGATGAGCCAAATAGAATTACGGACCCTAAGCCCGCACAAACCCAGACTACGTCGTAGCAAGGACACTCCCGGACCTCTCCCCTCCTGAGGCTCATCAACCTTCTCCGCCTCGAGGGTGCAGACCCAGCATCCCGGCAGCAGAAAACAACAATAATTGCAGCAATATGAATCATACTGATGGTAATCATGGCACTAACCGTAAGTGTAAAGTAATAATAATATGAACACCGCCAGTAATGACCGAACAGTAATCAAAGCACTAATTATGGTCAGAGCCTGTGCTGAATTCGCCTTCTTTGAACACTGGCCACGGACCACGACAACGAGTCCTGGTCACAGAATGACGGTGTTTCTTGTGGCGTTCTCGATTTCATTCCTGCTTGTTCGTTTTGGTATGCATCTTGAAATCGATGGTGATGACTATGATGACCATCATTGTGCTGACTGTCATGTGATGACTTCCATCACGGTGAAGATGATGGCGAGCATGCTGCTGCTGATGATGATGATGACGATGACGATGATGATGATGATGGTGATGATAATGATGATGATGATGATGATGATGATGATGATGAGTGCGGCAGTATTCCAGCTCAACAACTTGGCCATGCTGTTTTCGTGGTGGCCAAGACACTTGATGACGACGATGACGACGGCAAAGGAGGAATCATGTGCTTCGTCTGATGCTGCAGGTGATGAACATGATAGCAAGATGAAATCGATGACGATGGTGATGCCGAGAAGGAGCACCGCTTAGCACCCAGTCAGGTGCGGGGATTTTCCCTTGCAGAGGATACGTGATCCGGGGGAGTGAAAACGGTTGCGTTTATCGGACTTGGCTGAGCTTGCTATGACAAGCGAGACCATGGTTAGGCTGCGAGACTCATTCCCATTCGGACTCATTTGGGACTTGGTTTCGTTGATTCACTTCGTGAGTTGACTTGGCACGGTTCCTGACTCGCCTCTGTGCTGCTCTGCTGAGGACTACATGATCCAGCGGAGCTTCCACCAGTTTCAGAAGGACAAAGGCAACTCGACTTTCAAAAGTAGTTTATTAGCAGCCAAGTAATTTCCTGAAGGCTTCCGGCGAAGCAGTTCCCTTTTCTGGCCTGCCCCGCCTGCGTCAGCGCGCCTTCCGTAGATCTTTCAAGGCGCCTTGGAGCTCCAGAGCAAGAAGCAAGACTTGGAAACTGAGCACCTTGGCCTTCGAAGTCTTGGCCCACTTGCGAGGGCGAGACTTTTCGAGAGCTTTTGCGGATATTGACTTCATGAATGAATCTGTGTGTGGGTATGAGGATTGCATTCAGGGTTCCCGGAGTGCCCGTGCCTATGGATGATGCTGTGACTCAGCCGAGGCTGAACAACCTCGAGGATATCCGCGCAGCTGTCAGTGACGATGCTGTGTACTCTTTCAACGTGGACGAGGTGAGGGCTCGGGTGTTGGAGGAGACGATACGTTGTCGCGGAGGGGGATATTGAAATGTTGGCTCGGGTACGGCAGCTGATTTGGCGGACGGGAATCTTTAGCGCGAGATAGGCAGGGCTTGTGATACCCGAGACGTTTTGCTTGGTGCCCGCTGTAGACATGCAGGCCATTGCAGACTACTACTACATTGACAAGCAGCTCAAGAAGAAGCAGGATGAATTGCCCATTGTACCGCTTCGGGGTTGGGCATGGAATTGAATTACGATCAACAGAAAAATGGATGACCATGTGTGGTTTTGACGTCATCCTTTGCATCACTGGCATCAACAAGAATGCGGGTTCGATGGTGGCCAGTAGACTCACTAAAGGCGCTGTGCAGTCGACGCATATAGGCCGCATTTCAGGAATTCGGGTTCCAGCTGAATCAAGCACAGGAGGAAAAGCGAGAGATCGTTGTCCGCCCCGAGAACATCGCGCCCTTCCTCAATCCAGGGCGCCTGGCATCTTCTGCCGCACTTTGGAGAACGAGAGGGGCTTGAGGCGTGCACAGGGCGACGATCACGACAATGGGGCCAGAGTGCAGGAAGCAGGGAGAGCCCGATCAAGAAGAGCAGGCGTCACGAAGTGTCAGAGAGAAGACTCGGAAAGCACCAGATTCCAGAAAGAGTGGGCGAGAGCGAGAGAGAGACAGAGAGTGAATGGAGCTTGTTCTCATTCACCTCAGGTCTACATGCGCGATGGGGACACTGACTGGGGCTGGGGCATCCTCGTCAGTGCTTCCAGAAAGAAGCTCACAGGCCGCGCGTTCCTTTGAACTGCATCTTGCAGTCGCTGCAAGATGTTGTGGATTAGGAGGCTTTGTGCAAAAAATGAGCAGCTGCAGACTTCTGAAACACAGCCGGCATGATCGATCATGCAGGAGATAGCACGCAGTTACACGCAGGGTCGCTAGGTGCAAAGGAAGTAGCTGCAACCCAGAACCCTTAAAAAGGGGGCCTGAACAACTACGAATACTACTCCCCAAAAGTCTCTTCATTTTTGCGCAAAATAATTACTTTATACTTAAAAACCCCTGGTTCTAATCATTATGGCCCCGAAAGCTCGAGCTTCAAGAGGCGACAACGGCAACTCCGTCCTGGAGGCGGAGGAGTCTGAGCCGCAGTATCCTGGAAAGAGTTATTGGAGGTTGTATGGGATTTTGGGGTTTAGTTTAGGGTTTATAGGGATTAGGTTTAAGCAAGGAGCCTTTGATCTGAAGGGAGATTGCATAACTTAGTGAGCCTATCCGAGATCAAAAGCTCCCACGACATCTTCTGCAGCCCGTGCCTTGAACGAACGCAAACAAAGCCTAAGCCCCTGCTGTCTCGTCGCCCCTAAACCCTAAAACCTTGGTACTCTAGAACCGAAAACGCCGAAAACCCTAAACCCCTAAGCCCCAAAATCCTAAANNATATGTGTGTGTGTGTGTGTGTAAACGTTACACCCTCAGAGCCTAAAAGCCCTTAGGTGGGTGCTCGACACCTTCATGCCTTGCGAGCCTGGAGCGGAGAAGCCGCAGCCAGCGAATGGAGGGAAGCCCGAGGGCGCCCCGGAAAGAGTAGTTTTTTTTTTTT